GGTGTGAGTAATGCAACAAGTTGGATGCACCATGTGTGAGCAGCACAGCAGGTTGGCTGCACCATGTGTGAGCAACACAGCAGGTTGGCTGCACCATGTGTGAGCAACACAGCAGGTTGGCTGCACCATGTGTGAGTAACAGCAGGTTGGCTGCACCATGTGTAAGCAACACATCAGCTTGGCTGCACCATGTGTGAGTAACGCAACAAGTTGGCTGCACCATGGGTGAGCAGCACAGCAGGTTGGCTGCACCATGTGTGAGTAACACATCAGCTTGGCTGCACAATGTGTGAGTAATGCAACAAGTTGGCTGCACCATGGGTGAGCAGCACAGCAGGTTGGCTGCACTGTGTGTAACGTGTACGGTAAATTGGATGATGATGATGATGATCCCACTTGATCTTGCTTTAACCAGTTGTTTTGTAATTCACCAGTGAAAATCGACATCTGTGTATGTCATTTCATAAAGAAGCTATGCATGTAGTTTCTCTGTGGTAACATTAGTGGTGGTAACATGCTATTGGTATACATAAGTATCGGAATTTATATTATATTTAACTTTGACTTTTGACTTTAAAAATAAAAATGCATTACAGATACGGGACAGTTGACAGGGGATTATACTTACACTAATAATCTGGTTATCATCCCTATAGCTGCTGGCGGTTTGCCTACTCTACATTATTGGAAGTGCATAGGGACCTCACCAGATGGCATATCCACGTTTGGCTGGCTTTATTTTACAGGCACAGCAATGTTTGCATACCCTATCCTTTATCATATATTTCGAGTGGTATGAATGTTGCAGAATGTGTACGACATGTGGTGACTCTTTAATGTACTTCCCGTAGTGCTCATAGGGTCTATGTCCCCCAGGGTACTATCGGAGGGTTCCCTGGGTACGGTCCGGTATACCGGAACGTACCCTGGTAGTGGTAACTATCTGATATGGTTAGGGTTAGGGAGTAGGCGTAGGCATAGGCGACATATATGTACCTGAGGTAACTATCTGATATGGTTAGGGTTAGGGAGTAGGCGTAGGCATAGGCGACTTCCTAGACTCGTTAGTGGAGTAAGCGAGGTACGGTCCGACATATTAGATAGTACCAGGGTACGTTCCGGTATACCGGACCGTACCCAGGGTACGTTCCGGTAGTACCCTGGTGGACATAGACCCTCTCAGCTCCAGTAGTCGTGTCTAAAATGTGAAGCAAAGGGGTTTACAGATGATTTTGTAACATGTACAATGCTGAGATGCTACTATATTGCCCTAATGTTCAGTAACATTGGTGTGTAGAAATGCAAGTGCTTCACCTAAACTGGTAAAGTCGTTGCTGAAGCATAGAGAAGTTGTTGTGGAATTTCGTGTTTTGTCATTTTGTTCAGAGTGATGATGGTAAGTGATATGCAGGACGATTAAACACTTAAAATTAAACACAAATTTTCATTAAATTTGCCATCGATCCGCTGCTACATATGCAAACATAATTATAATTTTCACTATATCATCATGAAAATGGAATACAAGACAGTACTTTAGATTTGCATGGTGTCATAGTTGCCTTGTTTGTATAGGGTCTTTGACTATATAGCACCATTTAGTGTTACTTCTTTATATCCAGTGCAAAATTCTGTGGTTAATTATGCAATATATATATATATATGTATATATATATATATATATACATATATATGTATACATAACATATACGGTATATAATTACAAAATATAGTTTAACGATTCCCATCCAAATTATTCCATTGCAATTCACTTGATTTGGGTCAACTTGCATAGGTTCGTGATTAAATCTTCTTCTATTTTAAAATAATGTAATGACGTGTTAGCATTTGTTAGACAACCTTTGGACAAACTTCCACTGTGTTTTCTTGTGAAATGTAAATATAAATCAATATGTAACTTTTGTGAATAAATGGTTCTGATGTCAGATATATTACTGCATAAGTATTTAGACCTATGTTATAATTTGTTATGATTTCTATAATTACACATATTTAGTTCTTTTCAATTAAAATTGTGTAAGATCAGTGAGTAAAAGCAAGTATAAATAAATTATGTTCATCATCGTTTCGCTTAGACTTCTCTGATTTCAAGTTTACTCCTACCTCCACCCCTATCCATGTAATGGTACATGCCTGCGCGCACCCGGATGCGTAACTACGTTCCCGACATATTTCGTTCATTCTTGGCATTCTTTCGTGGTTTTCAGGTGTTAAATATTGTTTCTCACCTTGCTGTTCACACTTCGTGTATCGTTACATTATTGGTGAGTAGGTTTAGATTGTAGATTTCGTACTCATGTGTGGTATAACGCTAGATTTTGTCGAGTTGCTGAGCTTGTGCATGACTCGCGCACCTAAAATACAACGGCTTTGTTATTCAGTGTTAGTCGGTCCCCCCTTCGTTTTTCGTTTGCCGTTTGTCAACGCGTAACGGCGTTTTCGGACGACTCGCGTGTTTCACAGATACCTGCATTTCCAATGCATGAGAACCATGACATATTGGCTATTGCATTCGTGAATAATTTCTTGAGTTTATTGTAATTTATAAAATGTTTTTCCCTCTTAGTGATGAAATCTAAATAAATATATTCCCTCACTTCACTAAATCCATTACCATCACTATCAGCAGTATCAGATAGCATGTGCAGCTGCTCTGTTTTGTGAGCTCAGGCTGCTCTACTGCTACTCAACCTACTGTACATTTAACAGTAGGTGAAGAAAGGCAAACATGGTTGTGTATAGCTATAGGCTGTGATCACTAAACATTCATGCTAGAATAATACACAATTTAGTAATAGCATTACTCCTGGGCGATTTAGTAAAATTTGGTTATATCATCCCGCAGAGGTCCAGGCTAACGCTCCATTAGGAGTGTTCCCAACTTTACTATTAACGATTAATGATTAATGATTGATAATCCTAATCCTAACCCTAACCCTAACCCTAACTTAAATGACATTAAACCACAAACTAATATATGACCATATATATATATATATATATGTTATTATGACCATTAATGACATAGTTGGGAACACTCCTAATGGAGTATCACCCGAGGTCCAGGTATTTCCCGCAGATGCGCATACAATGTGCTTGTATAGCATGTAAACATGCATGTGCCATGTCTGTTACACTGATTGCGTTTAGAGTGAGAGTTATAAATTTGTTTCAGACATGTCCTGGGCAGGCGATGACACAATGGAAGATGATGATGAGGGGTGTGTAAAGGCGGAAGGTGATGGCAAGGGGGACATCAGTGAGGCGGAAGGTATCTGGTCACCTGATATTGAGCAGAGTTTCCATGAGGCATTGGCCATATACCCTCCCTGTGGGCGACGTAAAATCATCCTATCTGATGAGGGCAAGATGTATGGTATGTACTGTCTGTGACAAGATCTGCTATTCAGATGTTTCAGTCACATCCACAAATAAACAAAACTTCACTAGATGTACTATATTATAATTCCATTACTTATTGTATATGTGGTATAATTTTATCATATGAACTACACATACTGTGCAATGCCATTTCATTATTCTCTGTATATGTTACACCTTCGATAGAATTCTGTCCCATGTTATAAATAATTTATGTACTCTCCACAAATGTACAATGTTTAAATCTACATGTAACAGTATAATATTGGCACCTACTGATTACGTATAAATGTATAATATTCCACCCTATTCAATACTTGTAAATGTAGAATTTTATCACCGACTTAGTACATGTAAGTGTATGTTTGCAGCTGCTCAGTACATGTAAATGTATTATGTTTGTACATACCAGTGTTTCCCCTGCATTTTCATAAGAGTGAGGCAGGCCGCCTCGCTCAAATTCTGAGCTGCCACACAGAAATTTGTCCAAAACACCACCTCGCTGACAAAACTTTTGACAACTTGAAAAAGAGATTCAAGAGTCTCATACAATGTGTTCAGAATAGCTTAGAATGCACCAATTTACATCATTTAAAAAAAAAATTCTTGGGGGGTAGCATGCCCCGGTCCCCCCTAGTTTGGCCAGCACCCGCACTGCTCGCTTTGCTAGGACCTCGAAACACGCAAACACATCAGAAAAAACATTTACCACCTTGCAGTTGCAGACCTTTTTGGCTAGGGGAAACACTGCACACTATATGGAAATGTATAATTTTCACACCCAATCAGTTAGTAAATTAAATTTTACAAGGCACGACATGCTTTGGGAGGAGTTCTGTAAGCCAGCATGTGAGCCATGTGTACATGCGAGTGCACGTATGCACGTTCCTTGTAGACATCTCACTTATACAGGGTGCGAAATTAACCAAGTCCAGAGTCAAATACTCCCTGATTTACTGTCGTACTCCCTGATTTGACATAACCAGGAGTCCGTGGGACTCCCTGAAAATTCTGCTATATACTAACTAGTTAGTTCCATAGCACGGCCTCGTGGAATTACCGTATTTTTTTCAGCAAATATCCCAAGAAAATTTGGCAGACGTGCAACCGCATGTTTCTTCAAAATAAGCACGTATGCGTTATTGTTTTAAAGGGATAGTAGATTCTAGGATTTTACTGCATACAACTGTACTTACTGTATAACAAATTGTCTATACCCACACGTATTTGTTACCAGATACCTAATTTAATAGTTATAATTAATTACACATCAACGCTACGAAATTTGAACGGCGCCATGACACCCGCGACCGTGCTGCCACCCCGAAAAAGTTGCGTATTTGACAATTTATTTTGAACGTTATAGACCGAGGGCTCATTACAAAAGTGCAATTATATTTATACCTAAATGTTATTTAACCGAACGATATTCATTTTAGGGCAAATTTATCCATATTAATTTATAATCGAAACTATATGTCGTTTATAAGATATTACAATCCTTTTGCTTTTAAATTAATAAATAAGAAACACCCTCGGTCTGTAGCCCTTGGCTGAAAAGTGGTTTTGCGCAACTTATCAGATCGTGCGCTTTGAGTGACGCCACTGTCGTTGTAATAAAACTAGTCGTTAGTTTTAAAACATTTTTTCACAATATTTCTAATGGTGATTGAACCATGAAACTTTTTATATAGCGTAATTTTAACCTAAATTAACTGAAAATAACCCTAGAACCTAGAGTAAACGATCCCTTTAATATCTTTAATTTTGAACTTAAGACTGCGGACTCCCCTTTTTGAGGGCAGGGAGTTCGTTAGACTCCATTGTAATAAAGTTAATTTCTATCCCTGCTTATATATAGTATGGATGTGCTACAGACAACAGTGAACCCATTGTGAAACAGTCTGCATGATGACATGCGATTCTCAGAATTGTTCACATTTTTATGATGGTTATGTAACCAGCCAATTACCCATGTCTTACCGATAGCTGAACCTGTTCATCTTTTTATGCAGTTATGTGATAATGAAACGTAGGTGATACCACTATGTAGTATGTGATAAGGAGGTATAGGTGGCACCACTTCGTGATGAAGTGATGCCAGTTGCAAGTAATGTCCTCTTATCCACAATACACACACCGAAGTGACCAGCCATACATATAGTTTTAGCTTGAAGCCCAGGCAGAATATTCCCCCGAATTTGCCCAGGCAGAATATTCTCTCCTTTGCGGGTGCTAATTTTGCACCTATAGTTCAATGATTTAACCAAATGAGCCTAATCGAATACCATGCATCCAGCCGGGAATGGACACTGTTGAGTTAGAACTCGCATAGTATTAGGCAGGCAAGGCTCAGATGACATTAATGTTTTTCACTTGGAGAGAAGTTAATGTTATCCATGAGGTTTATCGTGCATGCCCCATACAGCTTTTCAAAGGAAAGTAATTATTCCTAATGTCTCCAGTGACAATAGGAAGTATTGATTTTGTAATGGAAGCTATGAAGCAACAGTGTGCCTGATGATGTTGCATTCTTAGCATAGCTCACATTTTTGTGTTGGTTTGTAGCCAGCTAATTTGCCACTCATTCCTTCGTAGCTGAATCTGGTTGGCTTCGGCTGTGGAAAAGCCAGATTCTAAGTGTGGTCGTATACATACATCTACTGCAATGCACTCAAAGCTTTGTGTTCTTGCTTTGTCGTTGATTAACAGGTCGTAATGAGTTGATAGCTCGCTACATCAAGTTACGTACAGGAAAGACCCGTACCCGAAAGCAAGTGTCCAGTCATATCCAGGTTTTGGCAAGAAAGAAATCTAGAGAGCTTCAGTCAAAAATAAAAGTGAGCTGATGTTATTTGGTCTTGTAAATGGTTTTAAAAAGATAATATGTGGGTGAAATTACAGGTTAAATGTTGTTCTGTTCTTTTCCTTTGAATAATAACTACCTATATATATATATAAGTCAGGAGTAGATGATAAGGAAGGAGTGTGACATCAATAAACAAGGGAAATTCGTCATTTACTAGCCTTAAAATACCTACGATTTACTACGCGTAACGCAACCAACTTGAGCTCAAATCGTACACAGTACATTCGCCTAGCATCGTGCGAAATCGTTTCCTCGTATACACCCGCAATCCGTAGATACAGACTAAAACGTACGACACGATTATCCATTCTTTGGCCAGCAAAATCGATGCGTTCAGAGAGCCATTTGAAACAAAAGGCAGCTACTAACGCTCAGCGATGCGGTGTGACTCGCTGGGAGATTGGACATCAACGCAACACTCGGCGAGATAACCTTTGACCCGGCATACAGCTACATACCGGCATACCGTCATACCGGCATACAGCTGTATGCACCTGTATGTACCACGCACGCACGCCCACCACAATCAGCAGCAATCTCCCAGCGAGCCACACCGCATCGCCGAGTGTTAGTAGCTGCCTTTTGTTTCAAATGGCTCTCTGAACTCATCGATTTTGCTGGCCAAAGAATGGATAATCGTGTCGTACGTTTTCGTCTGTATCTACGGATTGCGGGTGTATATGAGGAAACGATTTCGCACGATGCTAGGCGAATGTACTGTGTACGATTTGAGCTCAAGTTGGATGAGTTACGCGTAGTAAATCGTAGGTATTATAAGGCTAGTAAATGACGAATTTCCCTTGTTTATTGAAGTCACACTCCTTCCCTATTATCTACTCCTGATATAAGTAGTATTAAATAACAGATGCTCCATAAAATTATACTTTTGGGGACTGGTGATGCAGCAACAGTGAACTATTATCTCATTAAAAAATAATTATTGGATTGTATGCAGGATCACAGTGCAAAGGAGAGGGCACTCCAGTCGTTAGCCAGTATGTCGTCGGCTCAGATCGTTTCGGCAACAGCGATACACAACAAGAATGTCGGCGGTGCTTCTGCAGGGGTGATGGGACTGTATGGGTCTGGTGGCAACACCCGCCAGCAGTTCCCCAACTCACAACCAGTACATGTACGAAGAACTAATATTTAAATAAATACAGTCAAATCTGTGTATAAAGATCACTCAAAGGGCAACCAAAAAATATTCCTATATAAACAGGTGTCTGATCTATAGAGGTAGTTCCACTTTAGAACTGACATCCAACAGAAATTCTTTACAGAAAGCATGTGTTCTAACCCAAGTTTGACTGTAGTCATATCATATTTTATTGTATTCGTGTTTGTAGAACTAAGCATAGTAATTCAATTATACTATATTGACCTAGTAGTATGTGCACATATATGGATGTGATTATGGTAGGATAGCCCACTGTAATCAGGGGTTCACTTTATCATGCTGAGTGGTAAATTTTACTCATTTAACAATTCTAACTTTTTAAAGACCTAAATAGTCTCTAACATGCCCTAGTAAAATTGTTGTTGCTTTTAGATGTTACAACAAGGCTACTCAGAAAGAAGAGGAGCTGAAAAGTAAGTATATATCTTATTAGTAACATGAATACCTAATAAAAAGTTGTCATGGTCTATTGACCCTAGCACTTTTGGATTCTGAAATGCATTAGGAATATACAATAACACTGTGAATAAACCCGTCCCAGTTTTGCCGGTATCAGGGGTAGAAATAAGGAGAAAAAAGAGGTGGTCCACAGGACCATATAGTTTGAAATTTAGATGGTCCTCCTAAATTTTAGATGGTCCTCCTAAGTTTCAAATTGTTCTCTAATAGTAATGCGGCGTGCAAGCGTAAGAAATAGATTTTACATGGTGATAAAATGGTTTAATTATTCACCTACAATGAATGTATTAAACGATACAGTAATTGTTTATTCACTTTAAGAGTATATTGGTTAATACAGTTGTTTCCGTAGAATTTAGTTGAACCCATAACACCGGAATATAGTATGTCTCAAATATTTCTTAGAAGCACATTCATTCATTTAATACAGTTAACATTCCTTTAGTCAAGCAGTTAATTCAAGCGATTATAAGCCTTCTTGGCACACTCCATCATGTCCATCTTATCTAATATTTGTTCATCTTCCTTTTCAACATAATCCTCACTATCCTTGGAATATTGCACGTGGAAACTTGAAAGAAAATTACCGTAAAATGGGACCAAAATATTCAATGGTCCGTCGGACCATTGACTTTGAAAATCTGATGGTCCTTCTGATTATTTGATGGCCCCGGACCATCGGACCATCGCTTATTTCGACCCCTGCGGTATTATCTGGTGGCTTGGTGATTGTGCAATCATATACAAGTGTTGTAATGTAACCAGTGTGGAATAAAAGTATTTGCAGACAACATACTTTTACAGTTAGTTGGTTTGTCATAAATAGTGAATTTCTTGAGAATGGCAATGTTACGAAATGCTAATAATTGGCTCGTGTTATCATTGTAGCATCAAGCCTTTTATCACTCAGCCTTACTCCCAAGGGGCACCCTCTATACCTTGGGAGGGTTGCTGCATCGGTACAGAGAAAATCCGGCTGGTAGAATTCTCTGCCTTCATGGATCAACAACACGACTCTGACTCAGTAAGCAATGCACAAGCCTCGTGGTCACAAATGGCTTGGTGATACATTAATGTTGTATAAATACTGATTGTGTAGCGGCGTATCAGAAAGCTGATTAAACTACACGTGCATCAAATGGAGCAATTCTATTTAAAAGCGGAGTTTAATTTTATTTAATTAAATTATTTTTTATCAAAGTTATCTTTGGTGATCATTTGTTTTGTTACGTTAAAATGTCGTAATGTTTTCTGTTCACTGCATTAAATATAAGCATTGTAATCGACAACTTTTTTTTGTTTCAGTATAACAAACATTTATTTGTACATCTTGGTGGGCCTAGTTCAGATTTCTCGGAACCACCGGAGGTAGGCTACGACAAACTTTTATTAACTAATAGTGCTAATCTAATATTATAAATGGTGAATATACAGTAGACACACACAGAGTTAGTAAATACATTCTTTTGCCTATTTAACTTACATGTTGAATTACAGCTTTAGAATTATTTGCATTTCACAATGAGAATTCCCCCCAATCGCTATATTTATACAGGCAGTGGATATCAGGCAGATATATGACAAGTTTCCAGAGAAAAAAGGAGGCTTGCGGGATTTGTATGAAAAAGGACCCCAGTATGCATTCTTCCTTGTCAAATTTTGGGTAAGTTGCTGCGATAACTTCTGCATACGTTTTTTTGTAGCAGTACAGGTCCATAAACCATTATCTGCAATTCCATAATTACAAAAGCTGAACAAAATCTGTTTTTTAGTGGAGTGTCACTCTTATACATGAACGTGGCATCGAACGTGTAATAACGCTGCCATATGTCACATTGCCATCACTGTAATAGAGTATTTATGGTCTATATTTATCCGGCTATTTCAATTATAAAATTATTGCTGTACAATTAAACTAATACTACTATTTATAGTCTTTAGTTATCTCACTCAATGTGTTAATAATTATGTTTGATGCATATATATTAATGTGCTTGCTCATGGGTGCTGCCACAGACCCTGCTAAGATATTATCTTGATATACAACGAAGGCACATCTGTACCAACGGTGTCAGAAAAAGGATTATGGACCTGCATTTGCTCAACACCTGTAACTTTTGACTTAAACTGATTACACCAGAGCCAGATTGTGGGAAAATACCTATTGCGGAGGAAAGTGCATTTCTAGTACTTGCTCCGGTGTAATGAAAGACTCCCTGTTGTCCAACAGTGTAATAGTTTTTGTAATTATCTGTTATTCAGGCGGACCTCAACACAAACATTCAGGATGAAGCCGGAGCATTCTATGGTGTCACGAGCATGTACGTGTATGACCTACAGTGCCTGCCACGCTCTCACATGAAACACATAGACGTGTGACATAGTGAAACTCTTGCATTTTTGTTCATTATCAGATGATTTGCACAGTATGTGAAGGCAGTTAGTAAAAGTGAAATGTTTAAATGCAGTGATAGCATGCTTGAAACACCCAATACACTGTAATCAGTATGGTGAGAAAATCACCATACACATCCACTCACACAGAGTATTTGCAAATTACAAACGTTTCTGAATCCATACACAGCTATACATAGCATTCACGAGTACTGTTGTTCCCGCAGCACGAGTCCTTTGTGAGATCTTAATATTAATAAATGCCTCCAGGCAACTCTATGCATTCCCGTTACATTCGTGCATTCATTGTGTACCGGTAAGCTAACCATAGCACGTGAATCTCATGGGCACGTTGTTTGCAGATACGAGAGCAGTGAGAACATGACAATCACGTGTTCCACCAAGGTGTGCAGCTTCGGCAAGCAGGTGGTGGAGAAGGTGGAGGTAAGAGCAAATCTAGCTGCCAGTATGTCCTAGGTAGTGAAATAACTAAGCTGATATTTCGTATTGAGATAATGTGTGTTTCAGTGTTTTACAGGGTGTGTCTATTTTAGCCTTATGTTATCGTATCTATAAAGAGACGTCAATGTGATATTGCAGACGGAGTACGCTCGATTTGAGAACGGACGCTTCGTTTACCGCATCCATCGCTCGCCAATGTGCGAGTACATGATCAACTTTGTGCACAAACTAAAGCAACTTCCAGAAAAGTACATGATGAACAGCGTTCTGGAGAACTTTACTGTTCTACAGGTATGTGTGCATGCGTGCGTGCGTGCGTGCGTGCGTGCGTGCGTGCGTGCGTGCGTGTGTCTGTGTGCCTGCGTGCGCGCGCACGTGTTTACGTGGGGATGTCCATATTTGCTCATGTAGTCTGGTCTAAAATAGCGATGCCGCAGCAGCTTCGTGTGTGTCTCAATATGTAAAGCCATATATATAGATGTTAATATAGTGTAAATATGGCTTGTAAACGTGATGTAATTATCCTTTGCTGAAATCCCCATAATAAGAATAGATGCGTATCTCATTAAAGTCTTTGCTTGTACTTATGGTGTTATGTTTATTTATCCTAGAATCCAGCTTATTCGAACTACACCCCGTAGTGCTAATCTGCTCTTGCTCTCACAGTATGAAATATTTGTGTAGATATAGATATGTATACATGTTTTTATTAGTCTTCACTTTAATTTTGTGCCTGTGTATCTATGGGGCGCTTACTTCCATCTATTATCAATAATGTTGTTGGCTGACTATATGGCCAAACATTTATTGCACAATCCATTCAGCTGTAATGTAGAAATAGTGTAACTACGGTGGGATCTGGCATTGTTCAGGTTTGGTTTGAAAATATTACATACTTGCCCAAGGTGCGGAGTCCGGAGTCAAATACTCCCTGATTTACTGTCGGACTCTGATTTGACATATGCAGGAGTCCGTATAACTCCCTGAAAATTCTGCCATACTAACTAGTTCGTTCCAGAGCATGGCCTCGCGGAATTACCGTATTTTTTCAGCAAATGTCCAAAGACAATTTGGCAGACGTGCAACCGCATGAATCTTCAAAATAAGCACACACGTTATTGTTAATATCTTTAGTTTTGAACTTCAGGCTGCAGACTCCCTCATATTGCTGCGGACTCCCTCTTTTTGAGGGCAGGGAGTCCGTTGGACTCCCTTGTTCAAAAGTTAATTTCTACCCCTGCTTGCCATAACTTGGCCGGGCTTTGCTAGGAAAAACGTTGAATTTTTTTCACACTTTATTAGAACATTCTTAGCATTTTCATAAAACAAACGAAACGTGAAATAGCAATTTTATTTTCATGAATGAAAACATTTTTACCCCACACATTCTGTTAAGCATACACTCAAGCTTTTGCATGGGTATTGCTCTAATGAAGAGTAAACGTTTATGGGCCAATGAATCTAATCAATCATACGTTTTATTTATGGATGAGATGTATCTCTATGCTCAAGCCAAAAAAATTCATGAATTTCCAGCACCTAATTATGTGACAACACAAATTCTGAATTTTTAGCTCAGCTGACGAAGTAAGATGCAGCTTGTAGAATCGCACGATTGTCCGTCCGTCCGTCAGTCCGTCCGAGCGTCCGAGCGTCCGTCCGTCCGTCAACAGTTGGGCACAAATCTTAACCACTCGACGTACGGTCTTGATATTTGGGACGTCAGGGGGATCGTGAAAAGGACTCGGGATGTCGAATTTGGGGGTCAAGGGTCAAAGGTCGAGATGTGTCAATAGAGGGGAATATTTCCCCCTTAACTTAAGGTATAGGAGGAAATACGGAATTGCGGGACAAATCTCAACGGCTTGACCTACGATCTTAATATTCGATGTATAGTGTGATGGGGAGGAAACCCATCACCAGTGCGAAATTGGAGGTCACAGGTCAAAGGGCAGTGGGGGAAAGGTCAGATATCAGACATTTTCTGAGGACATGGTCTAACGGACCGAGTGCAAAACTTTTTTGCTTCAGCGCTGACCTACCATTTCTATCACTTTATTGAAAGGACCATGAAATGTACTTTCCGCTGACATGCGAAGAGTAAGTGTCTGATAACCTTTTGACCCTCAATTTGTTGACTGTTAACAAAGGATTGAACTGCTTTTGCTATTGTGGATGTGAGGCTACAGTTGCACAGTTCAATTGCAAAGGCAAATGTTTGTTGAACAAGGTTTACGCTCCTTAAATCATATTATTTTCTAAAGCAGTCTGTATTAGCACCCTGAGTAGCACCCTGTATTAGCACACTGTAATAGCACCCTGAATGCTCACATGGGTAGGCAATAACACGGGGGCAGCCCATTACGCATGCATGGGGGTGAACTGGCTTTATTCTAATCATAATTATTGCCTGGCAACCTGCAATGCAGATGTGTTAACTCACAGCTGAGCGAAATTCTCGCCTGCCTGAATATACTTGGATTTTAGCCGGAAGGATTTCAGCAACTCAATGGAGTGAGGTTATCACGCACGAAGGGCGATGCCATCTTTGATTATTGATGACACTTGCACGCGCCATCTCGCGGCAACTGCTTTTTGCTATTCCACCCGCTCCTCTCCCCACCACCACCACTACGCTCGCGCTCGACGCATATCCATGATAACATGTTAATATAGCGAAGTCATTAAAGTTACACAGCTGTATCTTTATTACTGTACTACCGGTATAGCAAAGCGTAGCTATCATAGATTTTAGATCTGTATTAGTAGTATCCTAGATATATGCTCTGAGCGCGAACGCGGTGGCGGGAGGGCGCACTTGATTTGGTTGCCAGTGAGTTTATCAGAAGAATACCCGGCTAGAGCGCTGTCGCTTTGCGGCACTTGTTATATAAAAATGGTATTTTGGATATTTCTCAATTACCACAAAGAGTATAAAAGCAAAATTTTTGCCACAAGTGAAGCCCATCAGAAACGTATTTACCGAAAAATATGAAAAACTGCCTAAAATTTAAGTCGGATTTTCGGATTGAAAATGTAATTGACCTGCTTTAATTGTGAGAAATTATGAGGTTACCATCGCAATTTGATGCGAAACACGCGGACGCTGCATACTGCATGACGTCACTAAGCTACGTGTCAACAAACCCGGGGTATGTAACGAGGTGTAAATGCTATTTTTGGCAGCGCAGCAGTTTCAACTATTACTGGTAGTTGATAGCTGTAGGAAAGAGTGAGGATGATAGATTCTGGAATAATGAATACAGGCTGGTTGGATCATGTCTCGGATGTCATCAGTAAATCTGTGTTTAAAGGGCAATGGCTCGTGACACGTACTCAGGCAATCAAAACGCTCTGAATGTTCACATGTATTGTAATATGGAGAAATAAACATGTACAGAAGTGCCACCTACTAGTGTTGCTGAGAGGGTCTATGTCCCCCAGGGTACTGCCGGAACCATGGGTACGGTCCGGTATACCGGAACGTACCCTGGTCACTATCTGATATGGTTAGGGTTAGGGTTAGGGTTCGGGTTCGGGTTCGGGTTCGGGTTAGGGAGTAGGCGTAGGCGACTCCCTAGACTCGTTAGTGGAGTAGGCGAGGTATGGTCCGGCATATTAGATAGTACCAGGGTACGTTGCGGTATACCGGACCGTACCCAGGGTAACGGCAGTACCCCGGGGGACATAGACCCTCTCAGCCCTACTAGTGTTAGCTATCGAATAAGAATGAAAAAAAAGTCAATGAAATTTCACATAATACCTTGTGTATCCTATGTAATGAGTTATTGTAATCATAGATGGGTGGATTGATGGATGGATGAATGGACAGATAGGCAGACAGAAAGACGGACAGACAATGGAATTCACAGCATCCTGGAATTCTTGAACCTATTCATGCAGTCAAGTTTAGCAATTATTTCATTTCAACATTATTTACCATTACCGTCCATTACAATACAATCCGTCTGCCAATGGCATTGTTACATGCGATGCTAGTGTACAGTTTTGTAATATTACATCCAGATCTTAGCACCATTGTTAAGCTTGGATTCTGCTATTGCAGGTTGTAACAAACAGAGACACACAAGAAACGCTGCTGTGTGTGGCATTGGTGTTTGAGGTGTCAACGAGTGAACACGGAGCCCAGCATCATATCTACAGATTAGTCAAGGACTAGAAAGTGCTGCCCGTCTACTGAAAACACCCAACTGCCTCCTGTATGTTTTTTAGTGGGCTGCACAGTACTGCCATGATGGTGAAAGTTTGTAGATAACTGGCGAGGCTTCAGTTCATATCAGGTCTCCATCGTAGGTCGCTAGGGGAGGGGATGGTGTTTACCGATGGTTGGATGTCAGTATGGAACAGCTATCGCAGACTGAAATTAGCGTTGTAGACTGACTGTCAGTACTCTCTAGTATGTACAGTGGCTATCGGTGGCAACTCGTGTGTAGAATCGCCATTGGTGGTGGCTAGTGTAGATTTTTGAGCCAAAGCACTGCTGTGAAAAGGTACAGCTTAGTAAAAAAGAAACCGTCCCTTTGTATGAACGTCCTAAATCTCAGTTGTCCCTTGTGTTTTGTGTGTAACCATAGTAATGGATACAGCCGAGTACGCATCTTGTTGTACAACAAGGTTATTTTTTCAACAAAGCATCTCCTCTGACAGCCACCCAGGAAAATGATCAAGGTATGCATATTTTTGTAGTGGACGATAGAGGAATGAGATAACATAGTTTTATACTAAATTGTTAAACATAGATATTGACTCTAAAGGTTTGTATCGTGTACAAATCCTTTTCTCCTTTTAATATTCTATTGTGATTCTTGCCAGAAAGATGAGCTGGTTGTTGTGTTTGGAAAAAGTACTCGACTTATTTGTAATATAATACATATTAATCTTTATGGGGCAGTGAAAGTGTTATGTGTGGAAAAGCAAGAGAGCAGATGAAGGATAAAATTGGATTCTTCTCTGGTATATATACATATTCTTTTATGCAGTTGAGATGATGCATATTGCATAGTAGTCTGATGTATAGTTCCGTTGAAAGAAACTAATTCACTAATCGTAACGTAAAATAGTAAATGTTTGATTCCAAATATATATATATATATAGTACTTGTATTATAATATATAATGGTAACAGAACAGTAGAGTTTATTATGGATGTGTACTGACTCGTACACAAATTTCTTTGCTTAGATCATGACACTACTATTTAGCGCGATCGTTAACTCTGAGATGAGCTACAACACTCAGTCCAATCATCATCACACGCCCACCACAAACTACCAGAGTTCTGTAGTTCTAGTTCTGCTAGTTAGTACTAGCTGGCTCAAAATTAGGGGACACCACGTTACACTACTAAGTTGTGCCCACACGTGCGTTCGGAAAATCTCGAACGAATTCGCTAGGCTTTATTAGATGAGGGACATAGGGAATCGGTCGAGTTCTGTTGAACGCTGCCCAAGCTCTTAGCTGCAACCAGAGCTCAAACCCACCGTGTATGTCTGCTTGTTCGTTTTCTGGTCACACAAGCATGTGTTGACGTTAATTACTCATTGACGGTGCTCTAATGCAATTTAGTTACTGCACTGCAGTATTTTCAGTAGTAGTCTGTTGCTGATTGTGGCAGTAGTGGTTGGCAATTAAGAAATACCAGCATACGGTGTACCGTTTGTCAGTTCTGTTTTTATGGTTGAGGTGTACGGTCGAATAGATGCTAGATTGATTTTACATGCTCATGTCTTGGTTCTATAGTGATTTCATTAATAGGATCAAGAGACTTATTAAGAGGCCAATCATTACATGTAAGCAGCACATTGGTAATTTTTTCACAAGGCCACAGCCATTGGCTTGGCTGCTGTTCTAGTGGCAGTCAACATGATGCATATATATTGGTTGTGCGTATTAGAATTCCTGGTAGCCGTATTTATTTCTGAAAGGTTTTCCCCTTTAAACGTTTATACGTTTCTTTTGCAGGATGAACTTGCAGGTGTGTTACACAGAGACGGTTTAGAACGTTTACACATTTATGTCCTTCGTGTATTTTCTCTGGTGCAGCGGTTGTGATTGGAAATGGCAGCTTTTTATATCACGGTCAGTCCTTGACCAGTCTGTCTGTACTGTATGGGTTCAGACTTTGCTCTTGGATGCTCAGTCCAGGTTATAAAATTCTAATGCTGTGGTTGTTTTTATTTATTCACGGGAAACGGTGTTTAGATTTTCATCAGCTTTCAATGTTCTGTTTAATATTAGTGTTGTACTTTTTTTGTTACGTGGTTTATGTACATGTGTGTGTGTTGCAATCAATTTAGGACGCAGTCCTGTCTGCGTATATATATATGTACACGTATTTACACGTATGTACTGCGCGCACGTGGAGACGTGCTTTATATACGATGCTGGCAATCACTGTCTGATCTACATAATTACAGTCAGCTGCTACACCATTTCGTAATAAAGTGTTGTACTGTATTCAATTACGTGAACTATATTTTGTGCCTTACGTTTACAATTTAGACTTATATCACAGAGCAAGCCGTCTGCTGTAAAAACTTTACAAGCATAAAATTTGTTTCTTATTATTTTTATGTTAAATTTATATCAACTATAAGCAGACTTAAAAACGAAATTTTTACTTTAAAATATAAATATATTGACCTCGTACAATGTTTCACCAAAGGTGTTTGTATTCACCAAAGCTCACTTTCATTCCAGTTGGTTCTCCAGCTTTATAGTATTAAAAGAATGTGTAAAGACTTCTAGACGATTTTTTTAGTCATAAAAACGAGATTCCGCTTGCAATGGAAGAAGACTTGGCAGACCATGTGAAACTGCTCGCAAACATGTTCCATGGCCTGTCACCCAAGAAATGTTGAGCTGGCATACGAATTTGCTGTAAGAAACAAGATAGAAATTGCAGATAACTGGGAGACGAACCAAAAAGCGGGAAGACTTGTGGGCAGGATTCAAGGCAAGAAATAAGCTTGCTATTAGATGTCCAGAGGCAACATCTTTTGCCAGAGCCACTGCATTCAACCACCCAGTTGAATCACTTCATCAGGGGCGCTCCAGCTGGTTCCGTCGGTTGCGCTACAAGGAGTGGCTGGATGAATGAAGAGCTTATTCATTGAATATTTGAACCATGTTATTCGGCATACACGATGCAGTAAGGAGCACAAGATTCTTCTAATCATGGACAACCACGATTCACACATTACACTGCAAGCTGTTGATCTGGCTAGAGATAATGGAATCGTGATGCTTACTTTACCACCACATACATCACATCGCCTCCAGCCTCTAGACAAGTCTGTGTATGGACTTTTCAAGAAGGCATACAATCGAGCGATGGATGCATGGATGCGGTCAAATCCTGGAAAGACAGTCACCATCTATGACATCCCGTCAGTAGTTAACGACGCACACCTGGCATCGATGATTCCTGCAATATTTTTCCGTTTAACAGGGACCTGTTCACAGATTTAGACTGTGCACCAGCCGCAACAACTGATAGTGACATGGATGTTGAGGCCAACCAAGAGGCAACAGATGAACCAAATGATGACAGCAATCCCAATATCGACGATGAGCAGGATAATGCTGGCCGTGATGTTTGGGTGTGATCCACCGATTGGGCTATCAACGTCATCAGGAACAACCAGCCAGAACGTATCTCCCATGGCAGCTGCAAAATCGATCATACTTCCTGATTCTGGTGAGGCATATGTGTCACCATCTGCAGTTCTTCCCGTTCCAAAGGCTGGGTCTAGGAAAAAGACGACTAGAAATCGTAAGAAGGGCAGTACAAAGATCCTCACTGACACCCCTGTTCAAGATGGAATAGCTGAAGCCCTGGAACAGCGTCGCCAGAAGAGGGCCAAGACAACTGCAAAAAAAGACGAGTGACGCAAGCCAAGGTTGATGACCAGACTAATAGTTCCGACCAAGAATCGGAGTTTGAATATAATGACGAATCTACAGATGAGGAAACATTCGAAGATACCGAGACAAGCGAGGGTGATTTTGTTGTGGTGAAAGTTGCAGGAAAGTCGCTTGTTGTAAATTATATTGCCCGGGTGGATGTAGTTGAGGGTGATGAGTTTGAAGGGGTGTTCCTGCAGAAGGTGGCTGGTAAAGTTGATACTGAGGACACTAGCTTTATTCCAAATATGGATGACCCGGCTTGCTTCATGAGGGATGAGGTAATCTGTAAACTCCCCCAGCCAAAAATTATTGGTGGATCTGCACGGCGATCATGCCATCTTGTATTCAGGTGCAACTTTGATAAATGGCATGTAGCTTAGGTGGGAATCTAGTGTAGCACGCAGCTGACCACGCACGACAACGGGAAAACGCCGCGTAGCGGCCGCCAATACAAATATCCTGCACTATCCTGAACACTTTCTCGAGGCCCTTTAGGGTATAGGGAAAACGGCCGGGAAATCGTCCAGCGAGAGTTCTGTTCATAGCACGACGGTTTTGACTACCCACGCAGCTCGAGATTTGCTGCAAATGAGCTAGAAAGTATTTTGGCTAATGGGCGCGCGTCCTATAGCCATGAAAAACGGAGTTTAAACGTTTTCCGTCGAGACACGCCCACGGCAACTGCTAATCACCGCGCGCGTGCGCCTAGCATAGGCCAGCTCTGTTGCTGGGGAAATTCCGTGTGATTATTCCTTACCCGTACTCTAAACCCGGCCACGCCGTACTATGGCTATGGCCCGTAGTAACGTGCCCACGTGCCCACGTGTGTTGTTACGAGTTACGACAGGTTTGAAACATAGTCTACGGATCGAAGCCATTCTACATGATTCACATACGATCGAAGCCATTCTACACGATTCACATACAGGTTTCGACACGGGATTCACTGCACGCCTGACAAGACGACGGCAGTCGACGTATATAAGTCAACCTCGTAGCAACGTGCCCAGATGAGTCTAGCACATATGCCATCCTTTAGATGGCGCCACTAGTCTATAACATCTATTGTGCGGGGTTTCTTCAAGGGACGATAGAGGACAGCAGCGCACGGAAATGCTCGCGCATGCGCAGATGACCGGGGGCCGGTGTGTGCCGAGAGACATTTTGCAAATGACGTGGTGAGTCTTAGCGCTAAATAACTTTATTCAGTAAGTTCCCGTTTGTCCTTTAGAGGTTAAATGAGCACAAAAATTGACACTGTTTGCTGGGAGCTATGCATCCGTACGCCGGCCTATGGATTTGGCGCACGGATGCATAGCTCCCAGCACCTGATACTTTCGTAGCACGTTCCCGCGGTCGCGTGCGCCTTGCCGCGGAACTGCGCGCTACGTCCGCGCTCAGCGGTTAGGATCAACGCCTCCTTTGCACATCGCCTCTCTAGTATCCGGTCTCTCCTCTGGACCCTTGTTGCATTTAGGTCTTTGATTCATAAACGCTACATTCATGCCTTGGCTCAAGGCACTAATAATTAATGCCTATATAAGCTGTTCAATCAAAGTGATTTACAATTTTTAGGCAAACTCGCCATGATAAGTAATTAATTATTAAGTTCTGTTTTGTTTATCTTGAAACATTGTGACATTGACATTAGCATTGAGACTACACGTTTTATAATATTTGGTTGGATTGTCTGCGACCATGAAAGGGATAATCTGGGCTGCTAACTATAAACTGTGTTATTTTAACTATAGAAAAGGTGTTGATACTATATTTGATCATGTGCAATCAAACATGCAGGATGTGGGTGACAAACATAGGGCAATCAAGCCACGAGTCAATAATTAAACCGTGTAGGAACAGAGGTTCGTTTATTTGGTATTATCATAGTAAGATTTTTTCTGTGTGGCAATATAATGGAAATATTGTTGAATATGTAGGGTTATCTTGTTTACAAAAGTGTAGGCGTTGGTTGTGTTCATTAATTTGAGTTGGAAATTCGGTCATAATTCATTTTATTTGTTGTTTCAGAGACAATGGGACAATAGTTTACTCATGATATTACAGCAATACTTATCTTGCTAGTCAATGCTAGTATGTAGGTTTATTAGGAAAAAATGTTTTAGAGTTAAATGATCTTCATTATTTTGAAAAATGTGTTTGTTATATGTCTTTTTTTCTACCTGGCTCAACTTACCCCATGGGTGGGGCAAATTGTGCCATTTTGTCAACAATTTTTGATGACCCACCACGCCATTTGTATGTATCCTGCAAAGTTGATATTGGCATGGAATATGCACAACATCCCAAAGTTTGTATTGGTACACCAACCGTTGCTTTCCACCCAAAAATACAAGAGCCAGGTTGTCTGAAGTGAAAAGTGGCACAACTTACCCCAGTCTCCCCTACGATATTACAATAAAGGCCAAACTACTCGGCGTTCACCACATCAGTGTTGTAACTGCTACTATTATTAACCCCTGCTCCCAGAAACAAACTTCCACCTGGGAATTTTTTTACAATCTGCAATTAAAGGCACAGTTTAATAGGACAGCAGAAGTGTCTTTTACAGCCTGTAATAGCTACGGATTTATTAAGTTGCTAAAGGATGTGCATAATTACACTGAATAAATTAAATGTCAAGATATTTTGCATGTCCTACATACAATAGCAAAACCAAGTACATTCACACCTATTACTCTATGTTATATCAAGAGCTAATAATACATGTAATATATTATGTATATAATGTATTATTATAGCTCTTGGTTATTATATAATATATATATAACAATATATGTATGTATATATATGTACACAAACGACAGAGGACATTTTCAAGAACAGGTCTGATGACATTTCCAATATCTGGCATTTGAACAAAAGTGAAACCAAATTAAAGATGCCTTCCCTCATAGCTAAAAGATCCAATTATATAATGAATTGAACTACAAGGTAATTTTTCCCGTTAGTAAAAATTTGCATCATGCACATACTACCTCTAAGGATATCAGTTTTTGCAGCAGTTTTAGGTAATGGTGGAGAACTCTGTACACATAATAACAAGAGCGTATAAAGAAGGAGAGCATACAACGGTGAAATGCTGAAACCATGTTACAGTATTATTCAAATTAATAAACTTTCGACGATTCTTTGCAGTATTATTAATCAGCTGTCCTACCTTGTTAATATAAAACAAACCGTATGTCCCTACGATGCCCCTACGCTGAGATAATGAGCGGTGAAAATCTGGTATTTACGCCGAAAACCGACTCGAGATACCTGCCCACTGCGACCGTCTCTTGCTTTGTGGCCAGTGTGTTGCTTCCGGTTGCCGCTGTGTAGCGCCATGGTAGCGCTGACTCGTTACGTCAGTACTACAGAGTTTACTACATCCAGCGTGAGGTGGGCACAGGTGGGGGTCATCGCTATGGCAATCAATAACAGACGTCATTTGTCAATCATTGACGGAAACACGCGAGGTTTCCCGAAGTTATCTCAAAGCGAGAGACAGTTGCAGTCAGCAGGTATCTCGAGTCGGTTTTCGGCAAATATACCACATTTTCATCGCTCATTATCTCAGCGTAGGGGCATCGTAGGGACATGCGGTTTGTTTTATATTAACAAGGTAGGACAGCTGATCAATAATACTGCAAAGAATTGTCAAAATAAAATGGGTAAAGTTTATTAATTCGACTAATACTGCAACATAGTTTCAGCATTTCACCGTTGTACGCTCTCATTCTTTATACGCTCTTGATAATAATTAGCAATGTCATGGTTATGTCAAGCCGCCTCGATTATATAAAACGTCGATTCTTACACAGTCCCCAATAGCCATACTTTCTAAGCAAAAAGCTTAAAACAAACATGATCCATACAAGTGGTATAATCCACACAATCTGTATTTTTAGGCTGTTATACATGTATAGGCAAATGTAAACGCACAATGCCAAAATAATGACCCTTTACCAGATTATAGGTGTGATAGAGCAATTTACATAGGAAGGCAATCTTTAATGTCACGCTGAGGTGATGTTAGCTATATATAGCAATCACAGCCACGGAGACCAAACCTACAGGAACTTACATGCAAATTAGATGTCCCTGAATACTCAGCAAATCTCCTGTAAATGTCACATGGATGATGCTGCAAGGGATATGACAGCATTCCACCCCCCCCACCCAACTCCTATAATTATATTCTGTGCTCGGTCGTTGTCACTAGATGGCACTGATCGTGGATCAGTTCGTTTTGGTCCTCCTCCGGTGTGGCAGCATCCGAGTCATTGTTGCCCCCCTCCAATCCGATGACCTCCCGAACCTAATCCAATAACAACCGGACCATCAATATCGAGCAAAAGATCGATGCCAGAATTCTTATTGTTGAGTCTAGTTGTTGCTTTCAGTTGAAATAATAAAATACGAGATATAACAACCAACTGTCATTATTTACTAATTCGATCTCACACGCGTGTACCTTCTTCGGCGTGTCAGGACATTCTTTCAGTTGTAGGAAGATGGCCTCTGCCTTCTTCAATGTCAGCTCAAGGTCGATGGAGAGTGAAAGGTCATTGATATGCTGCAAGTCAGGCAAATATATTTACTAAAATAAAAATTATGCACCGGTTATCTATACGCTGCTGTGCTTGTGCACTAGTAATATACTACCATGTGTTTTATAATACGATTCACTGAATCAGGACGATCATTGATAACACAATAGAAATTTGTGGAACATCGAAATGCCACATGTAAGAGGTTCCCACCTTTAGTATTTCAGTGAACCCAAACTGGTTCTCAATGATGATGTGCTTCTGTGTGTCCAAGATAGCCAAGCAGATAAGCAGATGGAAGTTTTCACAGGGCAAGTCCGTCCATAGAACCTGCTCAACCACACAGTAATGTCTTGTGAGATTTACGTGTCATATACGCATACATGCAATCCACATCACCTATTCCACTGAGCGATGTAAATCCCAAATACTGTGTTCATGATGAATACAATGTTGATGCACAACTACTTTGGTGCAACTACCATATGGCATACACACAGATCCGTGCATAGGGTAACTGGCTTACCTCCCACAGCCGCATAATATCAGCAAATATGAATTCTCTCTTGAAGATGATGAGAACCCATCGGAAACAGAAATACAGGTTGCCCGAATCATTGCTCTCTGAAACATAAGTATGTCATATTCACCCACTTACACGTCATGTTTTAAGCCACATGTGAACAAGGAACGTCAGTAGAAAATGTTATTATACAATACATTGACTATTGAAAAGTCAGCGCTGTAATCAAGTATAAATGCAAGATTGATAGATGTATATGTACAAGACAGCAAATGGTGCACACTTATTAAGGATTTACAAATAATACTGTTACTTTGGTGTAGACAAGAATTACCTAAATATGTGAATAGCTGATTGTCAGAGAAATGCAGCAATGTCGACAGATTCTTCAGCTGCGTTTTCATTCCTTGCTGGTCAAGGTCAAAGTTGTGCTTCTATAAGAGATTAGTACAAAGATATTGATTTAATAACAAGTAAAACAATAACAAACAAACAAATTAATTAATAATCAACTGCAATATCAAGATTTTTAAAAGTATAGGAGAAATATGACAATTGTTATATTATACAAAATATAATTTCAAAGTTCTTTATATCCTTATACTTATCATTTCTGCATGCGGAGAGCAGGAGCATACCATACTAACCACATACTAACTACATACTAACCACTTTCTCCATGAAGCCAACGAAGCACCAGAAGGCATCGACCTCATTTTCTAGGATGACGAGGATCGGGGCGAGGAGGTCACTCATGCCCTGAACGTAGCCTGTGCGCAAAGGGATAACAATGAACAACGCGATACAAACAATACGCCCAACACGAAATTTAAATGTCTACGCCAATCTTTCTTAGCATCGCTCTCGTTTTCTCTCCTTTCGCACGCAGGCACACACGTATATATATATCTATATCATCCTGCAGTTTTGTGAATGTCGTTCCATTGGAGCAATTGGCACCTAAACCTCCCACCTACATACTCCCACTTCTGCTTCTGTTAATCATGTTGAAAAATTTGGGAAGTGACACATGTCAATGCCAAATTCACATCTTGCTAAAGGTATTTAAGGGTCACACCCCTTACCAAGGTCAAAGTTATACATGCAGTATGTCATGAGGACATCGTAGAGCATGGCAATATTTGCATTGTCTGGTCCCTGGTAAAAGGGATGTGTGCGGTCCGTACGATCTGTGTCCTTCTCTGCAAAAAAAATAAATGACAATTTACAGCTACGTGATAGCAATGGGACATACAGCTACCACATCAGTACTGTAAACAAACTGATGGGTAATGACTATATGCCATACATCTTATGCTTCCCCACTTGTCACACTAGATACCTGGAGCCCGTTGTCAGAAACATACGTTCTTTGTGCAATTGCATTATTTTCATTGTCGTTTTATAGTTACAGGAGGGTCTAGGATCGCGTAATGTTAAGAGGAAATTTGCTAAGATTTTTTTATTCTCATAACTGTATGATGTTTCTGTCAACAGTCTATGAGTCAAAGTTAGTGTTACGACTAAGACTAATTATATGTCTGACAACCGGCTCCTAGAGCCCATTATCAGAAACAAAATTAGTCTTAAGATTAGTCTTAAGATAGTCTCAACACTAGCCTAACATTTTCTCACAGACTGTCGACAGAAACACAGTAAACTTACGAGTTTCTCATACGCAGTGTGCACAGGTCTGGTCCACGAGAAAAATTTAACATTTAGTCTAATGTTAAAACTAATTTTGTTTCTGACAATGGGCTCCGGACTCTGTGAGGGCTATTTGGTCCATTGACTTCCATACCTATTAGGCTCTTGTAGTCTCTAAACACAGAGAAGTGACTCTCTTGGTCAGCAGATATCGACTTCCATTGCAACTTCATTCTAAAGTAGTCATCTCTGCAGGTCAAAGAAAGCTTACACTCAGTTATGCCAAGCACTTACAGAGATATACCATTAAAGCAAGGCTCGACACTAGCGGTGGCCCGGTGGCCCGGGGCCACCAAAACTTGATGTCGGGCCACCAAAATTTCCAAAAGTTAACATTTGGTGGCCCGATCGGCGAGCTAAAATTTCAAGAAGTGGTCTATGTGAGTAGAAATAATTGGTTCTACGTGGCTAATCGCATGTCAGAAGAGAGGGAGCAATCGTTGGCTCGAGCAGGCGGCACACAGTGACGCACTGTTGCAGCAGTGCCTTACGCGCGGGGGCGATACACGGGGTCGGCGCCACGGTTGTATCGTCTACTGCGGGCGGCCAAACAAGCCACGTTATTGTGTTAGACTGTAGTCCGGCCTCACGCGTCGTGGCGGTAGACAGATGTACACGCGTCCTGCGCCGGGACGAACAGTGGTCGGGGGCCGAACCAGTCTAGCCAGAGGTCATAAAACTCTGACGCGCATATTTGCAAGCTACCAGCATAACAGTTTGGGGGATTACAGTGGGTTATCAACTGCGAACCAGACAAGGGCGGTGGGGTTAGACAGAAATGACGCCTGCCTCTGCACTGTTACTAGTGGAGGCGATATATTGTAAAATGAACGGCGAGCGATGAGAGTGTGGCGAAGGCAAGACAATGGTCGAGGTAAGTAAGAAAAATTGATGAGAATTCCTTACTGTTTTTGATGTATTTTGTTCAAAATGTTAAAAGAGTGACGGGCAGCACACATGCGTCCCGGTGCGAAGGCGCTCGTATGCGGACGGGGGAGCAGGCGGAGGGGGGGCAAGATAAGTACGGAGACGGTCTGGCTGCACCCCTGATTGCTAGTAGCCTGCGACCTGGTGTACACTGTTTCGGGTGATGCCGAAGCGCAAATGCCACGCGGTGTCGAAAAGTGTTCGCGTAGAACTAACACCTAACTTCTTCCATGATCTTCAGATGGATCAGTAATTTTAATTGCCAAGGCTTAATATTAGGTCTTTGCCCTACAGTGTCTCCTTCACTCGCACTCTCTTGCTGCTGTCTCTGTTCACGGGGGGCAACGAAATACTTGAACATTAGGTTGCTAGACGATGCTGCTTTTTTCGTTTTTACCAATGCTGATGCGTACCAGGCTACTTGTTGATAAATTCAATGTTCTACTTTATCTTACTTAAATTCTGCTATATTTTATTTTGTTACAGTTCGAAAGGTGCCTGCCAGACATGTGTAAAGCGTTTTGATGAGGATTAAGATGGATGAGTGGTTGTAGTGGTTGTGAGAGATGAGGGGAAGGCGAATGGTTGGTTGTTTTGATTGACAGGGTTAGGCGTGTGTGGGCGTTTGAGTAGTTGTGGCCTATGGCTCTGGACTGTTGAGTTCTTCTTGAACGTGGGGGGGGCGTGAACTGAGTCGGGGGAAGTAGGGCATGCGGGTGCACGCGCGTGTTTATGATAAATAATGACGTTGAAAGTAGAAAAATGGTGTATGCTAGCGATTCTCGCGTGAAAATCTTGATGCGTGGAATGGAGTAAGTTCTAAATGAGTCCGTCAGATCGGATTCTAATGTCAGTGTGTTGCCATGGGGGTGTGGCTTTGGTTTGAGGAAGAGCTTGTGCAAGCCCACACCCGGGCCCCAATTCGCAGGAATAAGTATACAATACGAGATGAAATAAAATTTATAATGTTTTTCTTTGTTTTTTTTTCGGGTGCACACGCATATTTCATTTTCGGGCCACCCAAAATTGAAAATCATTGATGTTTGGTGGCCCGATCGGGCCACTGAAAAAAAAAGTTAGTGTCGAGCCTTGATTAAAGCATCAACTATGCTCAACCTGTCACAGGAGGTAATGTGCAAAAGTGCACATACTGGCATCTTATCCCGTAGACTATAAATCAGGAATATACAGAAGTATGTGGTGGTCACCCAGTTTGTTAAAGCCACAATATGCGCATCTACACGCTAATTTCTCCAGTACTAGACTAGCAAATACTTCGTGACATGCATAATCACACTACCTTATGACAAAGTAAACTATAGTTCCTCCCATTTCACTGCGCGTTTGCTTAAAACCCACAAGAAAGAGGTGCAAAATCTTGTAATCTGGCGCCAACGCCGAATTGTTTGCCAAGCAATCGGTTAGGTGACGTCACATGCTGCTACGGGTGTTGAGCAGAGAATATAGTCGTTTACATTTTAAGATAGTTGTAGTATTGTGAACTGCAGTGTATGTAACATCAATGGCTATTGGGAAAGTAATAATAGGCAGCGTAATAAACTCTGAGAATAACGTATTGATTTTAGGCTTGCTACCGCGAACGATAACATGTCATTGCGCTAGCAGCGTGCGAGCGAAAAACGCACACGGGCAGTAGAAATCTTTGCTACACCCGCTGTATGGTTGCTTGGCAGAGCAACGCAAAAGTGTCAACAACATCGGAGAATTTGAACAACATTGGAGGTATTTTCAAATACCTTTTATAAGACAACGCACAGTGAAATGGGAAGAACTAGAGTTTATTTTGTCATAAGGTAGTATGATTATGCATGACACGAAATATTTGCTAGTCTAGTACTGGAGAAATTAGCGTGTAGATGCGCATATTGTGGCTTTAATCAATTAGCAATGTTATTTTTATATTGTGATTAATCTTGAATCAATAAACATAGATATAGATATTGTACAGAAATAGTAATTGCAGCCTACATTCTACCAACTGGTCACTGTTTGTGTGGACATATTCATGTTCCAACTATGACTGGCTATTGATAGAAAAATCATAATACTAATTTATCATAAAGAGTTACCATTGCAATTTAGTCTCTTTAGCATTTAGTTGTTTTATTGCACTTGATAAAGAGTGTTGCACTCACAGTTTTTGTTTTCGGGTTTCTGTGCGTTCTTTTGAGGTGGAATCGACACGATAGTAGTTCAGCAGTAGCTTCCACACTTCACCTCGCAATGAGTGACTAATTCCCTGTGAAACAACACAAACCGATCAACACCCGCACGGGATTCCACTTAACCATAGTCAAAGTCTTGGTGGTAGGACATTGGGCTAACATCATTACAATTATGTAGTAATTAACTATACAACACAGTGCTACCTACTTGCCACATTCCTCACTAGTCATGGTTAGTTAGTCCTAAGAGGACAGGAAACATACCCCTTTGAATACCCTGTTCTTGATGTGGTCCCAGTCGTCGATTCTACCCTGAGCATCCAGCTGGTCTTCCCACTCAACAGCAGTGAACGGCTCACTACGGCTTACTTCTACCCTGGGAGGAAGTTCTGTCTGAAATGCCGATAACGTCAGTCAAGTTATGCAGTTTAAGAGGCTAGCAGCTGAAAACGGATGCGCATATCTAACAACACAAGCATGCACACATACAAACACTGCACAACAACACACACACACATTTATGTTCCAGCACACATACTCAGGCACGAAGGCGCACATATACACACATACACACATATGCACACACTCACATAGACACACGCGCACACACTCACACGCACACACGCACGCATTCACGCATTCACGTACACGCTTCCGCACTGAAATAGACAACTTACGCAGCAGATGAGTTCGAATTCTGGCTCGTTCTCATCCCTATCGAACATCAAGCCAGGCACCAGGATGTTGTCCGGATCAGTGAGTAGGATGTCTGCCACCTCTGACCTTGGCCGCGTCTCCGGCACAACGAGGTTGTCCCACAGGAAATTGCGAACCTTTGCGAGCCCACTCATTGTGGCAGTGTATGGGTCCGTGTAAATCTTCTGTAAATACGGCATGTGACAACTCTTGTGTTTGGTTACATGTAAAGCTTCTGTAAATACAGTAAGGTGACAACTTTGTTTGGTTACATGTAGAGCTTGTGTTTGGTTACACTTAAATTTTCTGTAAATACGTTATGGTGACAACTCTCTGTGTTTAGTTAAATGTAAAGCTTCTGCAAATATGGTCTGGTGACAACTTTGTTTGATTACATGAAAAGGTTCTTTAAATATGACTTTATGGTAACAACTTTGTGTTTGGTTACACTTAAATTTTCTGTAAATACATCATTGTGAAAACTTCGTGTTTGGTCACTCGACTGTCTTCAGTGAAAAGCTTACGGTGAGAGCTCTGTGCATTTTGGTTAGTGCTATGTTGTTTAATTACGTGAAATTTTTTTGTAATGTTTCAGATTTAACGATGAGGCTCCGGTATTTCTAGCGCAATGTGCGACTTACGTTGACCAGGTCGGTTGACTGCTCTCCAAACAACTGCAGTTCGTGGAACGACTTTTGCAGGGCAGTCATTTCATGTTCACTAACCAAGAAGAGGCGTCTATCTTTGCGCGACTTAAGGATGGACACATATTGGCGGAGAACCTCGACAAACTCGTTCACACCTCCAGAATGAAAATGCAGAGGAGGGTGAGTTGTGCCATCTCTCTGCAACAGCAGGAAAACAATTTTATCTAAGTTAACAAATGTGTCGAAATTTTTAGTGCATTACTTTTACATTAAACAAATACACGTGTCATAAAATAAGACAGAGATAACCACAAAATACATGATCTATTTTAATAGTATGTAAATAATAGACTATCATAATATTTAACATGTAAGGTAATATTGTACCTGTATAAAGGTTATATGCTCCCAACCTTCCTTCTTTTTAGAGAGTTTATAACTTTTTAGGTCTCTAACATCAATACTGATGTGTAGTTTTTTATTTTTGTGTAGCATTCTTAATTCTCCATCTCCAACTAGGGATAAGAATAAAAAACAACCGTGAGTACATTTCACCTAAACATAAACACACACAAAATAATACATCTTGATGTAGAAAAAACACCTTGCCAACATTATAACTTGTTATTTGTGAAAGAAATATAATAGTCTAACTGTAAGATCACTTTTAATGGCAGACAGTTGAGTATAACACAGGTGGAACTTGATTACAGGTTGGTATATTAAATACAATACTAAACTATTAACTAGAGCTGTGCAACCTACAACAAACCTGGCCCATCGCTGTCAGACTTGTGCGACTTATAACCAACAGCATTAACCTGCGTCCAGTCCAGCTCTGTGTTTGGCTCGGACGTAGAACAGTCCGTTTGAACTTCTGGCTGCCATTCCACAAACACTTTCATATCCTGACATCAAATGTAAAATAGTTTACACAACCTTAATCAATGTAATGTGAATAAACTCGATTGCTGTCTATAAGATTTATATTCTTACTTGCCTGACTACTTTGCCAGTATTGCATGCATCACAGAAATATATTTTTAAATGCTTATTTCATGTTTTAAAAGGCCCAAAAGGCAATGCAATTGACAGCTGCAAAAATTATGTACCCTCTTGCACACGACCATCTTCCCTGCTATGAGGACATCTTCATTCCTGGCATTGCCATTCTTGTGCGCAAACACACCACCCTGCTCATACACCAACTGGAAAACATTAGAAAATTGTCCTTATTACACACACGTACAATATACTAACTGGCTGTATGGCAGAATGGCCTGATCCAGCTTGGGTCTATATTTCACCTTGTGTGAACCCATTGTGAGACACCTATCGCTATTTACTATGCTTTGCAAGAACGACCATGACCATTTCGTGGAATGGAACCATACCAGGGCTCAATCCTAGTTTGACGTCGTACCAATGACTACATACAATAACGTTAAACAACACAGTAGTAACCCTACTCAGATTTCATCTAGTCAGCAACCTTGGATAGAAAGGAGACAGTTATAATTGCTTATTTCATTTTTGCATAGATTAGATGCCGACATATCACAAAATTCAATACTAGACAAGTAGCAATGTGTATCACTATTCACTAATTGCCACCAGCCTCTGTTTCTCCTCTGGCAATGTGGCATTGCAGGTCAGACATGCCATCTGAAGCTGAAGGTAACTTGCAACATTCCACAAATCCCCAGACATGCCTCGTTATGCCTCTCGTTATGCCTTAAAGGCATAATAGGCCCATTGATTATGCAAAGTTGACGAATGCTAGAGTAACTGGCACCTTGTGTAGTTAATAAGTACATAACCTTACATCCAAATGCGTATTAGCTTGTCCAATATCACTGCTGGTTACTAAGAAATGTCTAATTTGAAATCCGCAGTCAAATAAATCAGTTGTTTACAGTTTCAAACTGCAGCCGCTGAAGCGGGTGTGATGCAGATTATAGTGCACCGGACATTTTCGCACGCATGCTCGGACGTGCGCAATGCTATCATCAGTGATTTCAATCCTTGTGGTCTGAGTGCGCATTCGTTCATGCAGTATCTCTGAGCACTGGTAGATCATCTCCAGCTGTTACCACTGAGCTGCTTGAAAGCTCTTGCCGCTGTATTGCGCTCAGCTCCACGGACCACCACTGGCACCTCCATTTCATCTGGCATCCAAATCATGCAAGCCGAACAAATGTTTTACGTCATCGCTCGACTCCTGGATGACATTTACGGCACGTAAATGATACGTTGATAAATATCAACAACCGATTTCAAGTCTTGTTTGTAATGTAACCAGCAGTGATACTGGACAAGCTAATACGCATTTGGATGTAAGGTTATGTACTTATTTATTACGATTTTGGTGCTTTTGGTGTGGGTTAACCTAACCTACACAAAAGCCACCAAAATCGTCGGTGTGGGCATTGTTCAGAGAAATCTCAGACTAAGGGCATTCGTGCGGTGTACCTGTGTGTTGCAGATGAGCATTTTACCAGCATTTATGGGTAATTATCGGCAATAATAGGCGAAATAGAGTAAAGAAACATTAAGACTTTGGTAGTAAATACATTTTGTGTTTATTTACCATTCTTTTTTTATTTAGACATTCCAAGTGCCTGTGCCGTGACAGTGCCTGACTCTACAGGCACTTGAAGCGTTTCAATCAAATATAATGCTATTACTAAATACGAAATCTATTTACTACCAAATTCTTAATGTTTCTATACTCTCTTTCACCTATTAATGTCGACAGTTTCCTGTAAATTCTGTCCGAATCCTACGTGCAACACTACCAAAATCCTACGCTGCCAGCCGCCATTGCTCTCGCGGCTCCACTGTTGCACGCTTACACTAATATATATAGTACTAGTAGTGTAATATATATTATATATAGTATTATATATTATATATACTATATATAGTAGTGTAAGCGTGCAACAGTGGAGCCACGAGAGCAATGGCGGCTGGCAGCGTAGGATTTTGGTAGCGTTGCACGTAGGATTTGGACGGAATTTACAGGAAACTGTCGGCAATAATAGCTGATTAATAGGTGAAAGAGAGTATAGAAACATTAAGAATTTGGTAGTAAATAGATTTCGTATTTAGTTAGCATTATATTTTATTGAAACGCTTCAAGTGCCTGTGCCTGACCATAGCCATAATGATACTAATTACTAGGCCTGACACAGTCAGTCGGTGACTGTTTTAGGGACAGTGTTTATTGGGCCGCTTAGTTATGCCACGTTTAATTGACTTCATTTAGAACAACCCCTCCAGAACCCTCCACCATCTGTCCATAAACGACATTTACAAAAAACTCCTGCGTGTATGTTAAGTTGTTAACTCACTTGACAAGTATCTTCCGTTTCATCAGTTTGTTGTTCAGCCATGTTTGTTATGAGTTCGTGATCACGGGATAGACGTTCTGCTATTTATTCCTCCTGCTGCCACCAGTTGAGCGCATCCAGAAGTTTGTTATAATTTTCTTATATTTTTATTACTCTTTAAAAATTAAGACAACTGCATATATACATGTGATAAAAACATAAATGTGAACTTCAGGGTTTTTTTTATTAACAACGCCACTGCAATGCAATTACAAACCAAAGGCAATTTCTATATAGCACTTAGAAATGCATGTGTATGAAATACAAATTTTGTGTCTTATGTTAAGTTTAATGATTGTCTTACAATTATTACATTAAAGAATAAAATTAGAGGAAGTAGAGCGTGAACATAATAAGAGCAGATGTGTAGGTAGAGACAAAAGGTGACCAAAGACAAAGGGGAAGTAACGTTGACGTTGTTCGCCGCCTTCCTGAACTCGATCTTCACTCTGCAACAGGTTGCTACATTGCTCTGATGCGTAAAGAAAGACGCAATACTGCGGTAGAACTACTAACACATATTTTAAAATCACCGTATCTATATTAGTTTGTATAGATATGCTCCTGGTAACATAATATAACTACAGAATGCATGCGAGACTACAGGCCTTATAAACGCTACGTTACACAGATAAGAGGCACTGCCACCAAAGCTGCCAATGGGTATAGACTAAAGTGTTATTTTTATGAAGATTTATGCCAACTCATCTGTCACATATACAATCAACCGGTATAGAAAATATATAATCACATGATAACAGCTAACTACTGTAAATTACGATAATTAAAATTTAAAAAAATGCCAGCTACTATGTACAGATTGACTGCCTTGACTTAATTATTTTGTTCTACCAACAAGTACTAGGGATAAGGAATATATCTAGATCTATAAATAAATTTCTATCCATACATGTTTGTCTCTTACACCAATGCGCTATATGCCTAAAAAATAGCAATCAAAATACACAATAATAGCAGGCATGATAACCAACAAGCCCATCTTTCAAAAATAAGTATAAATGAGTTGAAACACGTAAAAATTACAATACTGTACCGTGTTTAATCACAAACCAATTTGGCATGATGCAGATAAGACCACACAAACTCACACTATTTTCATCCAAAGAACGAGAAACGTGCCACAAAGAAAATCGCCACTAATTTCTAACGTGCTTTCAGGTGAGAGCAATGCTTCTCGCCCGCGTCTTCAATGCGGTCGCACGAGTGGCGCCCTCTGTTGGCACTACATTCTACCGATGATCATGCAGTCGACGACGTGGCCCGCGGGCAGCGAAGCTTGCTCGTCCGTCTTCGCTGGCAGTAGCAGGAGCCCGTTGGCCGAGCGCGTGCTTAGCAGACGGCTGCTGTCCTGCACGCCGGTCGTCTCACCCACTGGCAGGTCGTCTCCCTCCACCCAGGAGACAATGGCACGGTGGTACTCAGGCCGTGGGTCAAGGTCAATGGTAAAGCCGAGCTGTGCAGAGGTAGATGTGCGTGAGGAGGCCGTCGCGTTCATGTATGTACTATCGCAAACGCATGCACACACGTTCTACATGCAGAAGTATAGCTATGTAGAGAATATAGACGTAAATCTAGAGTATACTTGCTGCGTATTTCTATATGCAAATACATTACCCAGCTGGTGGAAGAAAGGGAAGCAAGTCCTGCATTGGTTTAGAGCCAATACGTAACAGCTATAATGCAGCATGAGTTTTTAAAGAGAACATAGGGAAACACATACTCTATTACTCTCTACTCATTACTCAATTTAAAAAAATTATGCTCACTGTTTGAGAGAAGATAAAATATAAAAAACGAATGGATCTTGCGCATTGCGCAAACACCGGTGAGTCGAGCATATACGTTTGCTTATTTAAGTGAGTTCACCTTGGCCTTGATGATCGTGTTACGTGCTCGAAGACGACTGGATAGCTTCCTAAGGGCTGGTACCACATAGAGGTTACAGGTAACCATAGCCGACACAGGGTTACCTGACAAAACAAGAATTATAGGTCACTGCGGATACATTACACAATACAAGCTGCAAGATACCAGGATGCTTATCTGGGTGTTTTTTTATATTACTTTGTTTTTATTCACCTCTGATGATACACTGGTTGTCTACACAGTACAACATTTTACAGGCTGCTCTTTCAGACTAGTTATGGTCAGTCAGTCATCAAGGATTAACAATGATAAACTATTTGTGAAGAATATACACTGAGGCACATGTTACAATGGTAATATATTGACACTGGCTCCTTAAAGAAAAAATCTCACAATGAATGCCAACCTACCAGGTAGACAAAAGAACAACTTTTTGCCAATTTCTGTATTGACCGTGGCAAACGTTGTTGGCTTTCTATAGAAAAACAACATGTTGGAATATCAGCTCATTCATGGCAGTTAGAATATGAGTTAAAAATCAACACTGCCTGTAGGTCATCTTCACCAAGAAATTCTGTTGAAAGACACCATTCATCATTATTAAAATTAACACCAGGTTTGTGGAACTATCCTTTACAACACACTTTGGTTGATTTTGTAGCCGTTATCAAATAACTAAGTATGATACTTGGACAGGTCATAAACATTTTAAGTGAGATTATTACACTACACTTTGTCAACATCTGTACTAGACTATATAATGAATACTAATACACTACAGTACGAAATGGGTAAAACCCCTTGCTGTAATTGTTGGCAAGTAACATCCATCAGCTACATACAGCCAAGGTAAGAGAGACAGCTAGGTTACCAAAATAGCAACATTTCTACACACCCAGGCTTCATAAACACTCTGCCAAAGTGAATCCGTGCTCGCAAGTCAATCTGAAGAACTTGTTTGAGTAGGTCCTACAAAACGTAACATATATGAATGAGAGCGAATTCGTGGTAGATGTACGTGCTATTAGTGGTGCTGCTACTTTCTGTCCCAGCTTTGGTATTCTTATATCAGACTATCCCACATGAATTAAGAAGAAAATTAGTTCCAAGTAATTGGACAGTCTCTGCTAGTAAACTAACAGAAAGTGAGATTTATTTAAAATAGCAGATATGTTTACAAAGTAACCTTGGAATATTGCAATGTAAGGTACCAGAAGCAAGTAATGACCCATCCCTCTACAATAGCACAGCATGGACCCCATGAGACACATCATGAGCACAAACCTTTTCTCCCATGGACACACCACCAGTCGTTACCACTACATCTGCCTTCTCCATGGCATTGGTAAGTGCTTCTAGTATGGAACCAGGCCTATAGGAATCAAACAATAGAGCATGAGTGAAGTGTTGGTAATGATGTACGCTCTAAAGTGACGTTACAGCCTATGAATACAACTGTACAAAAATCACATGCGAGTGCCATTATGCGAATTTTTCAGAAGATGTTTTATAATTATACTTGTGCTATTAGTAGCACAGGAAACCATGGTTTAAAATGCTCCCGATGCCAGGAATAAGCATGATCATACCTTGAAGGTTTTGCATGTTCCTCAGTGCCACAATACAATCATATGCCACTCGTACACACTCCACTCACGTGTCCTTAATGATGCCCATGTCGATGACCTCAAAGTTTCCCTGCTCTAACAGGCTCTCAATCATGCAGCGGTTGCTGTCCCTGATCTGTCCACGCTTCAGCTGTACTCCGGGATCCACAAGCTAAAAGCAGGAGCACACACATGAAACCTGCACTACACGCCGTATAACCCTACCACGCTACTCAGCCAGTAGTTAAAAATATTACTGAGGAATAGAAAATAAGTATATGTTGATATAATACACGAGCTGTAAAACAGTGCATCTAACTTTATGCATTTGTTGGTCAACAAGTAGAAACTTTCATTACTACTCGTTCGTTATACGGTTAGCACAGCAAAAAGATACATAACAAAGCTATGGTCATTACAGAGTAACAAGGATTGCAGGCGACACTCATACCTCGTTTCCAGTAGACACAATGGCCACTACTGGTTTCTTGAAGACCTTCACTTTGGTGACCCCAATCGTAGCAAGAAGGCCGACCTCAGACGGCCCGATCCAACTCTGCGCACTGAGAACCTTGTTGTTAGCTTTGATGTCGCAGCCAACAGGTCTGATGTCCTGCCCAATGGTCGGCGGGTGCAGCATTTTCACCTCTAGCTCGGTACGTCCCTGTTAAAATACCAGCAGCACATCAGTATCTCCCACCCCACCCCTGTATTCATTGCCTGACCTCTTTACTCATACCCTACTGGCATTTTCAATCCATCTCTTTTCTCCCATCGTACCCGTGTCAAGCCCAAACTGCAATGTTGATTCTCTTTCTGTTTTACTGCAGTCACAGAACTGTTAGAGGGGTGGGGTGATGGATACAGGGCTGGGGTGGAGATACAGGGGTGGGGTGATGGATACAGGGCTGGGGTGGAGATACAGGGGTGGGGTTAGAGACACATGGGAGGGGTGGGAGGTACATGGGTGTGGCAGAGGATAAAGGGCTGGAGTATGGGATAGAGAGGTGTGGTGGGGGGAATACACGGGGGTGTGCGGGAATACAGCAATGGGATAAGGAGTACAGGAGTGGGCTTGAAAGTACTAGGATGGTGGGTCACAAGGCTGGTATGGGGGAAAAAGAAGTGGGGTGGGAGATGCAGGGATTGAGTGAGACACAGAAGTGGCATGGTGGATATGAGGGGTGAGACCCAGAAATGGGGGTGGGGGATACGAGTCATGAGACAAAGAAGTGGGATGGGAGGGAGACAGGAAGAGGGAGTTGGATGAGGGACACCGGAATGGGGCTGATACATAGGAGTGCAGTGGCAGACTGAGAGGCAGGCTGAGACGCAAGGGACGGCTGCAGGGTTCAGCAGTGGGCCGGGCCCCTGCCTGCTAGACTGCGAGCTGAGATTACCTCATCGGCAGACTTGACGAGCTCGGTCTGTTCAACCTCGATGACGGCGTCGGCTCCCTTGGGAACGGGAGCTCCAGTGCTGATGCGGATGCAGTGCCCCGGAATCACCTCGCCAAAGTCCGGCTGCAATTGGCGAACGCGGAGACTCGCAAACCACGTTACCGAGTTATTACCCGTCATCAAAGCTAATATAACACAATGTCAAACGTGGTGCCGACTTGACAAACATCTTGTATGAATATTTTCGAAGAGACTTTTCGAAGAATAAACAATACCAATGTAGACAATATTACGGTGATTTTGTGAGGATCCATATATGATATTAGTCACAGATATAAATGGATTGAATGGTCTGTGGTTTTAATTCCCAAGAATTAAAGGCATTTCTCTATAACAAGCGCCGCAGAGCGACAGCGCTCAACTGACGTGTACTGTAGCCATGCAGGTATTCTTCTGATAAACTCATTGGCAACCGAATCGAGTGCATCCTCCTGCCACCGCGCTCGCGCTCAGACCATATATCTAGGATACTATTAATACAGATCTAAAATCTATGATAGGCTTTGCTATATCTACTGGTAGTACAGTAATAAAGATACAGCTGTGTAACTTTAATGACTTCACTATATTAACGTGTTATCATGGATACGCCTCGAGCGTGAGCATAGTGGTGGTGGTGGGGGAGGGGTGGAGGGGAGGGGAAGGGTGGGGGAGGGGCGGGGTGGAGGGAGCTCTAATAGTAAAAGCAGTTCAGTCCTTTGTTAACACTCAACAAATCCATGTTTAACCCTCCTCTTGAGGGTCAAAAGGTTATCAGACACTTACTCGTCGCACGTCAGCGG